GCTTGTCAGGCAGGTGCAGTGCAACTGAGCTAAATCCCTGGCCCTTATTTTTGCCTTTTAACACTCATCATTATCCTCTTAGAGTTAGGAAGTGTGACCCTAAAGCAATATGATCGATCTTGCACTGTGACTTGTGAATCAAATGTAATGTATTCAATTGTTATTTACTGAGACGTTTCCACACGCCAGGTTCCCCAGGAGGTGCCTGTGGCATAAGGAGAAGCTGGACTCAATCCTGCCCTCCAGCAATTTGAACATCTTACTACTTCAGAATCAGAACCGAAAGTTATTCAGTGAACCAACAAAAGCATTCAGTACATGGCGAGCAACACACCCTTTCCACTGCTTCTGTGACCCACAGAGGCCAGCACACTGTGCTCAAAACAAGCACCTCCAGTTCCCAACCTCCCTTCTGTTTGCTGAAGCAGAAACAGGGAGAAGGTGGCAGCAGCACGGACCTCAGGGAAGACTGTGAACCCTTCTGTTCATAAGACGTAAAGGCACCACTTACTAAAGAAGCTGTCTCTCCCTCAGTGTGTGTGTTTGTCAAAGACCCGATGGCTGAATGTGCCTGGAGTGGTTCCTGCTTCCTCTATCCTATTCCACTGATCCTTGTGTCTGATTTTGTGCCAGTGCCATACAGATGACTGAATCTAGTCACACATCTCTCACTGTGTACTAAAGTCAGATGTGTCAAACACTTACTCTTCTGAAAGATTAAGCAAAACGCTTGAAGACATAGTGTAGGCAAGGATTTCTGAACAGAATCCCAATGGCACAAGAAATAATACGGAGGATTAACAAATAGGATCACAGCAAACTAAAAAACCTTCTGCATACCAAAGGAAACAACCAACAGAGTGAAGAGGCAACTTACAGAATGGGAAAAATTTTTTGGTCTACAATTTTTTGGACAGAGAACTAATATCTAGAATATAGCAAGAACTCAAAAAAAAAATTATATTCCCCCAAATTCGAAGACCCCAGTCCAAAAACTGGTCAACTGAAGTAGATACTTCTCCGAAGAAAAAGTTCAATTGGCCAATAAACACATGAAAAAAGTTCAGAATCTCTGGCCATTAGACAAATGGAAATAAAACAATACAAGATTCCGTCTTACTCCAGAAAAGTGACCATCATGAAGAAATCAAATAATAACAAATGCCAGAGAGGATGTGTGTGTGTGTGTGGGGAGGCAGACACACCTTTCTGTATTATTGGCTGGAATGTAAACTAGTACAGCCACTACAGCAATCAGTATGGAGATTCTGCAAAGAACTAAAAATAGAAACTCCATTCAACCCAGCTATTCCACTTCTAGGTATCTTCCCGAGAGTTAAGTCATCTTATACAGTGACACAGCGACACATGTATAATCATGTGTGCAGCAGCACAACTCACAATAGCTAAATCTTAGAGGCAGCCTATATGTCCATCAGCAGATGAGTGGATAAAGAAAATGTGGAACTTATACACAATGGAGCACTATTCTGTCAGAAAAGGATAAACATGAGTCTTTTGTAGGAAAATGGATTTACTGAGACCTTAATGTTAAGTGAAATAAACCAGACACACAAGCTTAAATGTGGCACGGTTTCTCTTGCATGAGAAAGCCAAAATATAAATAAAGAGCAAAGTAAAAGACAGAGTAGGAAGTAGGGAGACAGCTCTTCCGCCAGTGGGAAGAGGACCCAGACATGGAGTGGAAAGGGAAGCGGGCGGGAGGAGGGAAGAGGACGGGAAGAGCATGATGATGTGCTATGTGCACCACTCCCCAAGGGGAATGTAAACATCACCTACTGTGACAGGTTCTAATAAAAGGTAAAGACTGAAAAACAGGCCCCGATTTAGCTCAGTGCTTCCGCCTCCTGCCTCAAAAGCTCAAGGTCCCGAGTTCAATCCCCGGCATCAAAACAAACAAAACAAAACAAACCTGAAAAGAACCTTTAAGGGCAGAGGATCTATGAGGCCCTGAATTCAACCCTCAGCCCCAGGAAGCACAAAGACAGAAGAATGAACAGCCCCGTTCTCGTGGTGCTGAGGACTGAACCCTGGGTGCTCCAACACCGAGCTCACCCCAGCCCAGTACAGGATGCGTGTATTTCTATTTTGAGGTAAGGGCTCATGAGTGCTCCAGTTGGCCTTAAACTTGCGATCCTCTTGCATCAGCCTCCCAAGTAGCTGTGATTACAGATGTGCAGCACTGCATCTGGCTAACAACAGACTTGAAAAAAGAAAATTACTCAGAAAGGGAAATAAGTGCTTTGCTTTCCCCCAAGGAATACAGCATGAAATGAGATCTAGAAGGAGCCACAGGACAGGAGTCTGACACCATGTGCAACTCTGGCTGCACCTCAGCATCAGCAGGGGAGCTCCTAACACAAATACAGATGCCCGGACACCGCACACAGAGAGTGTGACTCTGTAGTGCTGGCTGGGGTTGGTGCTTCTTTTTTAAAGTAAAATGCCACCTGCTTCCACACACTTCTGATACTAGGCAGTATCAGCAAAATCACTGATTTATGATGTGACGACCATTTCACGTCAGGGACTGGCATCAGTGCTGCCTTGTTTAATCTATACCACGCACAGGCAAGGCCGGTCTTATTCACGTTTCTCAGATGCTGAACTAAGCTCAGATGAGGTAGATGGCTTGCCTAAAGTCAAACAGCCAGTGAACTTTCATTCAAATTTGATCCAAACTTTCATTTTCTGGCTCCAGAATCTTGTGGTCTTTCTTCTACACAACGATTCTTTGCGAAAATAGCCAGAAGGAGCTGCCTGAAAGATTTTCTAACTCAGAACATCCATTTTCTGGATAAAGAAATTAATGCCAGGGCAGGAGCAACAGTTACTGCTTACAGGAACTTGGCAGCTTACAGATAGAGTTTGTGAGTTAGCCGAGTATAGGAAGGGGCATAGGTAGCTGCACTGCCTACATATAATCCTTTGCAAAAAGTGAAGTACTGTTATGGGAAAAACTTCCTATGTTAAGCAGTCATCAACCAGTGTAATTTTTCACCCACCTAAAGAAGCCTCCAGGCGGACACTGTTGTCAGATGACAGGATTTCTTAAGGGAAATGCTTCGTTATAGAAAGCGGAAAGTACTCTCCTGACTGGGAGGGGAGGAAAGGACACAGGAGACAGGTGCCCTGAGCAGACCTGAGGGCCGGGCCTGGGGCACGGAAGTGTGTGTGCTGGGTTCTGAACCAGTCCATTGCCCCAGCTACCCAGGATGGGGATGAACAGCCCCAGCAAGTCCACGCTTGACCAGCAAACTGTCCAACCCAGAAGCTCACAAAAGATACTTCACCCACTGCTTGATTTCCATGTTGGAGGAAACAGAAGGGATGGTCAGGAAATACCAAAAAGGGTAACGTACCAGATCTTGATAGGAACAAATGTCAAAGATGAGCTGAGGGATTAAGAAGTAAAACAGATGCCTGGCACAGCCAGTACTTCCCCAAAGTAGAAAAGACCTGTTTTATATAGCACAGGACACCTCATCCTCGTGATATGAACTCCTGACACTCTTGGACAGCGTGGATTTAATGAGTTTATCAATCTGCTCATCAGCAGTCACGACAGAAACGAGATTCATCAGAGACATCAGTGAAGTGGTCATTTACTTTTTCATTTAACTGCGTTGCTGTCTTGGTCTTTTATCAGACCCCTCATCATGCCCCCACCACACGGGAGGCATGATTAAATGTCAGCCTTGATTCAAATAACTAATGCATGACAAAACAAATATATTTACATGCTTTCCAGAAAGTAGCTAGTGCTAGCCTGCCAACTACAGATGCACAAACTTTCTATCCTATACATAAATCAAACACAAGGCATTTGGCATATTTTAAAAGACTGCTGATGTTACGGTGATTTTAAATTACTCAGGTCCTGGAATAAACCATGTAGATGTTGACTAATGAGGCAATATATTCCGAACCTTTCCATATGAATGTTATTAAAAGTAATAGCATTAACAGAAACAAGGTCTCAGAAGTTCAGGGGAGAATATAAACAGTTAAAAATCAAGGGGTATAATCAGTTGTTTGTTACTTTAGGCAAATCCATTACAGCAAGATTCCAGTAAGTTTCAGTTTGCAGACTGCAATGAGACTTTTTAGTCCTCTTAAAAGTGAACGTAAGCTGGGCACTGTGGAACCTGCCTGTAACCCCACATACTCGGAGGCTGCAGCAGGAGGGTCACAAATTCGAGGCTAGCATGGCTGTCTTGGTTCCTCTCTTGCTGCCAGGATCTGATACCTGCCCCTCACCATGTGACAGAGGAGGAGGAGCTCCTTCTAGGGCAGTTTGCCAAGCTTTCAGTGCTCGGTCGCTGGCCCAAGGGCACAGTGCACAGCAGTGATGCGGAGGGGTGGGGGAGGAGGGCCAGCAGCCCCTCCCAGGCCTGTTCACAGCCCCCCCCCTCACGTCTAGCTGTACACTTGCCGGGGGCTGTCATCAGTGGACCCCACTCGGACGATCCAATCGCCTCCCAAGCCCCGCTCTGAGTGCATGAGGCTTTGCAGGGACACCTGGATAGAAACCCCAACAGTGGGCCACTCACACTGAGGCTCTTTCAAACTAAAACATCAGAAAGGGCCGAGGATGTGGTTCCGAGGTGGAGAGCCCCAGGGCAGACCTCCCAGTACCACAAGTAAATAAATAAATAGGTAAAGAAATGAATTGAATGAGACAAAAAACTAAACATATCACATAGGCAACAGAAATGAAGGAGCGGGCACGGTGGAGGGGTCTCTGACTGGCAGACTGATTTAGCTCAGTGGCTCCACCGCCTGCCTAGCAAGCACAAGGTCCCAAGTTCGATCCCCAGTACCAAAAAAAAAGGCATTTTAAAAGTACTTCCAACGTTTAAATAAAAACAATTGTAAAGGAACAGACTGAGAAAAACCCAAAAGGCAATCACCTGAGACCAGCAAGCTGAGCAACGGGCTTGGGAGCAGAACAGCAAGGAGCAAAGAAACCTACATACCTCCTCGTTGCACCAGCAATGTGACCTCACTTCCCTTGGGACACTCAATCAGCAGGTCCACAACCTGGCTGTGAGTGAGTGCCTGCACGTTCTTCTTGTTAACTTCCACTATGAGGTCCCCCTCCTTCAGGCCTCGGCACCTGGGACTGTCCACGATCTGCTTCACCCTTTGCCCGCCGCCACCAGGACTGTCCGCGATGGTGAAGCCGAAGCCCATTGGCCCTTTGACTATGTGAACTGTGATGAGCTCCGGCTGAGTGGCTATGGAGGAAGCCAGAGACACCGTGTCGCTGGGATAACCCTGGGAGCCGTTGGAAGCCACGCCTGCCGGGCTGCCTGGCCTGGCCTCCTTCACGCCGCTGACCTTGCCAGCTTTACTACCGTGGCTTGCTGGAGAATCACAGGCCTCCTGCCCATTCACAATAATGGGTTCTTTGTCCAAGATGGCTACCGAGGTCACTAAACTCGTGTTGGGGTCGTCTGGATCAAAAGGCAGTGGGTAGCCTCGGCAGAGCTCAAGGGCAACGCTGGCACCGATGGGGATGGACTGAAAGATTTTCACAACTTGGGCATGCGTGTGGCCCAAAACACAGGTGTCGTTCACGCTGACAATCACATCCCCTGTGAAAGGCAAGAGTTTGAGGGTCAAAGCACATGGCATCCGGGAGAGTTGTGTCAGTATGTAACATTCTGCTGAGGCTCTCAGAACAGACCGCACTACGTACAATATACCTCTGTGGCATGAGGGTTATTTTGACCTAAAGAAAACAGCAGCTGTAAGAAATGCACTCAGACCATTCTCTTTGCCTTCCTGAAAGTAAGAGGTGAAATTTCATATGAAAGATGTCCTTCCTGTACCAAAAAGTTCTTCTATCAGAGACAGGAAGTCAAAGGCAAGAGTCGTCTGTACACAGAAGCTTTGTTAAGCTGGCCCTTAACTTCCTCCTCTCTTCTCTCTCCAGTTAACCACTCTGTCCCAAACCTACTCTGTGTCCACCTTTTCCCACTCTAACAGCATCTACGGGCTTTCATTTCCACATGAGTGTCCCAAGCCAATATACTACTCATTAAATAACTGTGAATGCCTTTTTCCTACTAACATGTCTTGTGTAATTCTCAGGCCTAGCCACAAGTCCTAAGAGGGAAGAGGTAAAATTTTGCCTCTTCTACATGACAAACATGAAGCTGAACTGCAACAGGGCTTGGGGGTGATGCCCTCAGGTGTCGAGAGGCTGCGTCTGCTGCTTATTTTAACTGCTCATAAAGCATTCTTTTAGCATCTAGTGTCTTCCCTGCTAACAAGAATAATCACGGAGAGAACACCGGACCTTTCTTCTAAAAAGAAACCCTCATTGCAGAGATCCGTTTAGAATTCACGTATCCAATGGATCTGCGTTTTTAGTAAATCACTGCTTTACTGCATTCAACAGCACCCTAACAACTTCCCAAAGTTAAACCGGTCTCAAAGATTTTAACCTGCATGGAGGGATGGGATTCTGTGCTGGGGGAATCCAGTTCCTCCCGAGGTGTGTAAAGGGCACCGATGAACGCAGGGAGCCGCGACGCCGCTGGCCCCTTGCCGCTCGGGACCCGCCAGGGCCACGCGGACCTACCTGTCTCCATCTTGCCGTCCAGTGCAGCAGGACCGTCTAGGACCAAGCTCTTGATCTGGAGGAACTCGTCAGGCTCGTCCCCGCCGACCACCGTGAAGCCGAAGCCGCGACTGCTTTTCCGAAGCTTTGTGAGAATGAACTTGCCTTTCAGCTCGGAAGGGTTTCGCGTGAAAAAGGGTTTGCCTGAAGTAACACAAGTGCAAAGAGTATAAGCCTGAGTGACTTAAAGGTGAATGAAAGATCTGGGGCAGCGCAGAGGTGACGTTCCGCGCTGGGGCTGAGGGCCGAGGTCCCGGGGCGCAGGTCCCGGGGCGGGCGGAGACGTGTGCGGGCGCTCTGCTGAGAAGGCGCGGGGCTCGCAGCGGGCCCGCCCTCAGGTCCAAAGAAGGCCGAGGAAGAACAAAACCGGTCTCGCGGCGTTCACACTTCCCTGGCTTCAGTTTACAATCTGGCAGTAACTGAGCTACCACAAAGTCTCTCTTCCTTCCTTTTGTTTTATTTTATGCTGCAGTATGGCTCCTTGAGTGCTGCTTTGGGCTTGAGCAAAAACTTTAGTTTTAAATTAAACAGAAAGCTCAGCCTGAAAATGCACTGATAATAGGAAACACACAAAATGATTTGACAAAAACACAAAATCACTATTTTCAAAACTGAAGGTCATTATTTTGAAGAGATCTCTAAAGTCAGCTGACTTTTCCTATTTATTTGCCCCTTTAAAATTAGTTTTTAAGTAGTCAACCACTGTTAAGGTCCATTGTTTTGAAAAAGCTTAGGATTTCTGGCTTCTGACATTTAAAGACAGAACAAAGCAAAACAAATCTACAAGCCAAAACAGAACCCTTATACTAAACCTACACAGTTAGAAACAAGAGCCTTACCGTCTCAAATTCAATCAGCGTATTTAAAATAAAGTAAGAGTTAGTTAAATAACTTCCAAACACAAAACCTAATATTTATTTTTTATATATTAATGGATAATATTTTAGATACAAATAAAAAGGTCTTTGGGCTCTATAAGGTATTTCTCTGAAATTGAGGAACTCCTAGCAGTGTCTCTGTCCCAAGTAGTGGACAAAATTCCATGAGAAGATTCTCATCTCTTCTGCCCTGCCCTTGCTAGATTCTTCTACTATCAAAAATGCTATCCCTCCCCCCAAAAACTGAGAAAAGAAGTCCCCATAAAGCCTGCGCTGCAAGACTGGCACCCAGGAAGAAGTTATTTTTGGTTAGCTATAATTAAAAGGCCTTACAAAGTCTCTGGGCATGCATACAATTTTTAATTGCATATTTTAAAAGTTTCGGGCTTTCAAGAAGAAGGCTCTTTTAAATTGCATGTAGTCAGAGGTCTGCTCACTAACCTCTCTCGTGCAGTCCCGGGGCTACTGGAGTTAGGGCAAACTACAGCCCTGCCACTGTGGCTGAAGAAAGACAAGACTTACAGGATCGTGCAAAGTCATCTTTCGAGGTGCAGACAGGGGGATGCCAGTTGCAGGAAGAGGATGAGGACACAGAGGCTAAACCAGCTATGAGATGGGAGTGAGGACAGAGGTGTACGAGGAGCTCGGGAGCTCAGAGGAAAACACGTTTCAGTCAGGCAGACGTCAGCATCTGTCCCCTGCTCCGTAAGCCCTTCCCTGACTACGGTTCCTCCTCCCACACTTCCACTCCCCCTTTCTTGCTTGCTTTTTGTCCTACTACTTTCTAACACCGTATACATCTTACTTATTGGTGTGGTTTTCTTTCTCATGGTGCCCGTGCTCAGGAATGAGGTACACGTCACGTGCACATATGCAAAACCACTAGAATGTAAGCGTCACGAGGATTTTTGTCCATTTGTACATGTCTGCTCCATTTTATGTGCTCCAAATTTTTTTTTAATAAATGAATAAAAGCATTTTAAAAAATGAGATTCAACAGGTCTTTGAGAAGGCTGAAAAGAAATGTCTGGGTGTTGGGATTTTTCACTGATACTAAAGGGAAAGTTAGGAAATGTAAAAAAGTGCCAGGCAGCTTATTGGAATTTTTTTAAGGCTATTTTGTGCTTAGCACATTTTGTGCTTAGAATGTTTTTACTTGATAGAGACATGAGCAGAACTTTGAAATTACACCACTTCCTTTTCCTATTCCTAACTCCAGAGGGAGAAGAGAAAGTTTCACATCTATGCACTTTTATTATGTTTTATGTATGGGTGGCTCATTAGTTAATGCAGCTGTGGGAAGAAAGATTTTCTTACCCATAAGCAGTGGAATTTGAGGCTTCCTGCTGCAGCTCTGTGGCAAGTGTAATTTCTGAGATCCTAACCTCTCTGAATTGGTCAGCAGTTATAAGAACTGGCTGTGTATGAAAATCACTGGGGTAGCTTTTTAAAATGTACTCATTTTAGTCTCGACTCACTGAATCAGTCTTTCTTCTGGGTTTTGACAGTCCTTAGAGATTGTTTCCCTGCCACACGAAGCTATTCTCGAATCTGGTGTGTAGATGCTCCTGATCAGCACTGTCCAATAGCACTTCCCGCAGAGAAGGAAATGCTCCCTATCTGCACTGTCCAGTATGGCACCCACTGCTATTCTATCTAGCTATGGTGTCCTTGACATGTGGGCCAGGACAGAGGATCTAAGTTTTCAAAATTGTAATTAATTTAAATTCAAATGGTAACATGTAGTAACCAATGGTATCCATACAGAGTCCTATCCAAGACGCAAAGGACGCTGAGTAACTGAACCAGATAGTAACTCAGAGCCATAGCAACGAGGCTAAAGTGAGGTTCACAGATAAATGCCATCTAGAATCTTAGTTGGTGTCCCATTTGGCAATTAGAACCTGAACTTTTAATCTTTATTTAACCTTTCAGACAGTTTTGTAAAGGAGACTGACTAGCTACCATGTGCATGTAAGGATGTATGTGCACGCACATGTACACACACGAGTTCACTCCATAGTAATGTCAGCGGGAAGTACATATCCAGGGTTAGACCTGGGTTTGGGTTATCCCAGCTAAGGGAAAAAAACAGATAAGGAAAAGAAGAAATAATCCATAGTATTATAGCTGTATGGGCTTTACCCTAAGAGAACACAAATGAACACTAATTGTAAGTGTTAATTTTTATAAATGAGAACTACACAATGGTTAAGAGTGAACACAATAGGGGAATCTATCCATGACCCGACATGAGCCAGGCTGGTAAAGACAGGGCAAAGCTCAAAAGCAGCTATATTCTACTTTTTAAGGCCATCATCACCATTAAAAAGTATACTTATGTCAGAAGAAATCATTTTATGTAAATTGATATCAATACTAACCTAATGATAGTATCAGCTAGTAGAGGGGCAATTTTGTTCTTATGAAAATTATAATAGAAGAATCAAAGAGAGAAAAAAATCATTCTTCTACATATCTTTTTACATCTAATAGCTACATCTTGTTTGCAATGTATACACTCCAAGATGAAGGCCGGGGATGTAGCTCAGTGGTTCCACCGCCTGCCTTGCAAGCACAAGGTCCCAAGTTCGAGCTCCAGTACCCCCAAAAAAATGTAGAGAGGAAGATGAATTTTAGAGTATTGCTAATGATTTAGTACCACAAATATTTTCTAGCTCTGCTAAATGTGATGCTTGTTTTATATTTCTTATTGAAGAAAAGAAGTCCAGAAACGTTTCTGATCACTGAACAGTCATGAGGCCTGGGGGTGGGAAGCCCAGGAGCTTCGAATATTCAGAATCGTCCTCTCGAGGGAACTCGAGCTATTGTGAATGTGACACCAACCGAAACACTGTAAAACACGAGAAACACCAACACCAGTGGCGAGAACGGGGCAGGAGAATCTAAAGCACAAAACATCCAAACACGTTTTCAAAACAATCCTAGTCGAAAACAAGTACGCTGACCAGAACTGTGAAACATCCAACGCCGACATTTGAATTTATCTTCTTTGACTAGTACTGGATATTTTTGGCCTCTAAATCAGTCATTGCGACTCTGGGAACGTCTTGCTCCCCCGAGGCATGTGGCCACGTCTGGGGACACTTCTGGGTGTCACTGGGGGTGGGGTGGGGTGAAGAGCTGTTGACATCTGTGGACAAGGTTGCAGTTAAGGGTCCAGCAATGCACGGCACAGACCTTGGGGAGAATTACCCGGCCCATGTCAACAGTGCTAAGGTTGAAAGACTCTGGATTCAAAACTTATTGAACAAGTATCGTTATTTTTAGATTATCACAATAATTGAAAATTTTATTCAGAAAGGATTCTAATTGTTTTGATGTCTGATTAACAATACATTTAAAACTGCCTCCATTTATGGTCTTCACTACCAAAGGAAAGAGAGTGATACAGCTTAACTTTTTAACAACTTGCCGGTCCAATGACTTACACACAGGATGACCAAAAACTACACATTTTCTAATTTTTACAAGATAACATGACAGGGAATATAAAGAGGATCCTTCTGTGAAATTTCCTGAAGAGAGGAATGGGCTGTCTGAAGTGACACCTGGCCCAGCGAAGCTCAGGATCGCAGTCAGTACGTAACCAGGACGTGGCCAGCACACTGCCCTCAGGATTCTCAGGGTGAACCGTTAGGTGGTGAAAGCACCTTTGACAGTTTTCCAAGCAAAAACACCTTACCCTGAAGTGGAGCATCTCTGGTCGGCTCCGGATTGCTCGGGGGGTGGGTTGGAATAACAGGAGGCACAAGGGATGAATGCTCTTCTGTCCACTCTACAAGAAAGAAGAGACAGTTTCTGGTCTTTCCTTCCAACAGCTGGCCCACTTCCACATGATTCCTGTGCTTCTCAGAGGCCCAAACCAGTAAACCAGGCAGTTAGCTTACGTTAGAAAGAAGCTGGTATCTGACCTCACTTTATGTGAAGGGTATCAACAGCTCTCTCTCTTGTCCAAGATGTTTGAGGCGAGAAATGTAATATGATCAGTAAAAACTCTAGTTCTCTCTGGTTGGAGAGTCCAAAGTGGGATCAAGTAAAGAAGTATCAGGAAGACACAGTGGCTGAAAGGCAGCCTTCTGAGAGAGAGCATTCCTGAAGGAAAGCGGGAAGGGCTGGTTTGCAGAACCTGGCTGTCATAGGCAGTAAATGGGAGGAAGGTGGATGCCAGCAGTTTGCCAAGGCACTAACTCTGTAGTCTCTGAAGCCCAAGGGGACCCCTCAGCAGGACTCCTATGTCCTGGACGTAACCAGTGCACTGTGGAGCTCCAGAGGTAACCTGCAGGAAGTGCACCTTGCGATGGGCCATGGCCATTTTCTACTCAGCCGATGGATGCAGCTGCACATACTCCACTGTCCGTACCATACTTTCCAACACATCAAGCTTCATCACCTCAGGAAAAATGTGTTTCAAAAGTTCTTTTTCAATAAAAAAGAGATTAGAGAAGAGAACTTTTCAACTGGCCAATACACACATGCTTAGGCAGCTGTTGGCAAACCACGGCCTACCAGGCAAACTGGTCCAATGCCTGTTCATGCACAGCCTGTGCGCCAATAATAGCTGTTACATTTTTCTTTGATACAGGGGATCGAACTCAGGACCTTGCACTTTCGAGGCAGATGCAGTACCACTGAGCTAAATCTCCAGCCCACTTTTACACTTCTAAATGACATGTGAAAATAATATGAAGTACAAATTACAATGTCCTTAAAGTTTTATTGCCACAGAGATATACCTGTTCATTTACATTTTGTTTATAGATGTTTCCAAACTCCATCGGCAGAGCTGAGTAAGTGTGAGAGTGACTGTATGTATCACAAAGCCTAAATTATTTCCCATTTTCAGAAAAGTTCACCAACGGATAGCCTAAGGTCTGTATTTATAATAATTGAGGGCTTGGGTATAGTTCAGTGGCAGTGCATGTACTCAGCAGGCATGCAGCCTAGGTTTCATCCCTAGCACCAAAAAAGTACATAGTCATTCCATATTCATATACTAATGTTTACATATTATTGAGGGGAATATTAAATGTTATTTTAAAACATCACAATAAAAAATTTAGAAAAATCTAAGTATCTATTAATAAATGGATGGCTAAATAATGATGGAAACAGTCACTAAATGATATGTTATACAGCTACTAGAAATTATAAGGTAACAGGTTAATCACATGCACACACTATGTATGGATATATTCATATAATTTCTGTTAACATATGTAATTTGTATGACCCTCGAAATTTTCTGTAGTGTTTACCTCTGATAATGGGGGCTTAGCATTAGAGAATTCAATGTTCTATACTCTTGAACTGCTCTTATTTTTACAAAGAAGGTGAATTAACATGTAATAAAAAGCACTTAAAATTACCAGCTCTTTCTGATTATTACATGTAATGTTCCTAAAATAAGTGTTAGCTTCATGCCCAGTAATTCTGCTTAAAGTAAAAATGGAAAAAAGGAGTTTGGACCTAGAGGCTGGTTGCAGTGCAGGAGAGTTCTTGTACCCTCAGACAGCTCTCCTGCCTAAAGATGCTCCTTTCCACATCAGGATGGAGAGAGGGGTGTGGGTACCTTTGAATTGGGACTCCCCTTTGGCTGTTGGGTGGGAGTGGGAACAGGGAGTGGGGAGACTAGCAGGAGCCTCTATTCTTTCCCTGGACAGCAACTTCTCTGAGTGGTGGATGCCTGGATCCTCCAGGCCAGCTCTGACCACATGGGGGTGTCAGTGTCCGGGCCTTGCCTAGCATTCCTAGCGCAGATGTCCCCAGGGGAAGAGGCCAACCTTCTGGTGGTGGCGGCTGCTGTTGCTGCTGCTGCTGCTCTAGCTGCTTCTTTCGTTTGGCTTCAAGAACTGGGTTCTCGTATTGTGTTTTCCTGTTGATGTGGCTGGGGAAGAAGGTAATCAGTTTTCAACAAGGAAACACCTACACACACACACACACACACACACACACACACACACATACACAAGCCCTATCAGGCCAAGTCCTTTGGCTAAAACAGAGCAATGCAGGTGGACTGATGTTGGCTTGGTTGTGTCAAAAAGCAGTTAAGAAGAGGAAATGAAGGTTACTGCCTATTTATATGCACCAAGCATTGTGCAATCATTTGCACAAGCATTTTTTGGGAAAATCCTCAATAATGCCATGAGACAAGTCTTATTCTTATTCATAGAATAATACCACCTTGTTCATGAGGGACACATGCCCAGACTCCATGGATCCTAAAACCAGATAACAGTGAACTCTCTCCCTATATGTTTCTCCCCATATAGTTTAATTTATGAATAGGCATAGGAAGGAATTAGCAGCAATAATTTATCATAGACCTTAGCGATATGATTGTTGTTCTCCATTACTGAGATTTTCACTTAAAGGAAGCATTTTATGGCTTCTCATTAACATATCCCAATTGCCAGCATTGCTACTCTTGAGCTTTGGGGCCATAATTAAGTAACATAAATGAGGGTAACTTGAACACAGGTACTGCAGTACCATGATAGCCAATCTGGTAACCAAGAAGGCCGCAGTATGGTTTACCCAGCACATATACGCTGCGCACAGTGATCATTCTCCTCCTAAGCCAGACGGAATGGGGTGGCTGGAGATCTCATCCTGCTACTCAGAATGGCACACAATTTAAAATTTATGCATCCCTTGTTTCTGTAAGTTTTCACTTAATACTTTCAAATTCTGCTTGACTTTGGGCAACTAAAATCATAGTAAAATTACAGATAAGAGGACACTGCTGATTTTATGGCTAAGGGCAGTGAACTTCTGTGTAGTTAATAACTCCCCTCACTGGAATGCAGCAAACAATAAACAGGCATTCCAGCTCATGCCAGTTTGCTTCAGATCCCAGAATTTCAGCTGCTGACTCTACCCAAATGCCCACGGTATCACATGAAAGTGTGGTTGCCTAAATGCAACAAGCAGGTCTTACGTAGCGAATATACATACTTAAGTATACCTAAATTTAAACACACACATTCTATACGAGCATTGTACAAGCAAACACCTGGGCTTTCACACCAGTTCTGCCACCTGTCAAAGCAGTCACCACCCATCCTTCCCTTACAAAGGCTAGCTTAGGGGCAATGTACATGAACTCTAAGTAGAAGAAAGCTTGCTGTGCATCTGTAAGAAAGATAGTTTTCAGGGTTCACAAAGGAAATTTATCTCAGGAGGGTCAAAGAAACAACCGTGCTTGTTTCTCTGATGCCCCAAATTGCCAACTCTTGTCATGTAAAGAGGAGGCAATGCTCATATAAGCTAACGACACTTGCTATATCGAACTCGATTTTTTTCTTACAATAAGACAGTGGACATTTTATGGCCTGGCATTTTTGCATATGTCATATCACAAGGACATTATAGGAATGACTTCAACGTGGCAGCATGAGAGAAAGCAGGCCACTTATCTTCATTGCAGCAGGAAGGACTATGAGTGGCATTTGCAAGGCATTTGTTCTTTTCAAATGACTTTAAAGCACGTCTTGCTCCTGAAGATACATAATCGCTGTTCTCCTGCATCCTGGCTTTTCTCATTCATTTGTCCAACTAATACTCATTATACACCTGCCAAATGCCAGGACTATATTTAGCCTTCACAATACAGTGGCAAACGAGAGCCGTGAATCCTGTCCTCAGTAAGGGTATTAATGACAGCACTGACCTTTGGATTCACCGAATATTTTCTTGTTCATTACAGAATACATATTTTCATTTTAAAATTTATGTATTATTATTTACCTGTGTCTTATAATAATGACAAATTCTGCTTAGCATGAATGTACATAATTCCAGAGAGGCAGAAACTAATGTGTGGTTTATTAATAGGCACTTACTCTACATAGTAGACACCGTAGACAGGGTCTTCAATCTTCTCCCAACCAGCAGGCAGCTCTGAAAAGTGAAAGGGCGTTTAGAGCAGGAGGAGCAGATGCTGGGCGCGCCTGGGACTGCCATCAACCAAGTCAGGCAGAGAGACTTATAAAAATACCTTAAGTCCAACTAGAACTGTATCCAACCAAAAGGAGCATGCATTATTTTTACTTTCTCAGTATATTTTTCTACATACAAAGAGCTTCTTTAACCAGTGATATTTTATTTCAGAAAATAAAACTTAATAAATGCAGTCTTGGCTGCCATTATTCTCTATTATCAAATCAGATTTTAATAGGACCTTAAAGCTTGCCTCGAGTGACTATTCCTGCCTTAGCTATTTGCTGTTTTCTGTTTTCTTTCCAAGCCACCTATCACACAAGCAGACATCGGTGGAAATTAATGCTCCTTTTCATTTGTCCACACAACTGTGCTTGTTTTGCTTTCCTTGGAAGAAAGTAAAGTCTGCATCTCATTTGCTCCTTGTTCCCAAATAAGATGCTACTGTCTAAATGAAATGCCGAAGTAGAACTGGGCCCTAAAACAGCACACACCTAACGCTCGGGGGCTGTGCTTGGGCTGCTCCTCTGCCTCCTCCTCACCTGGGGAAGAGCAACCCAGGTCTGGGCTGCGGACAGCTCACTAGCTGCAGGGGACAGGCTATTCCTTTACACGCGGCGCTGCCGTGCAGGCTGAACCGTGCTCTGCTGGACTTCACTTCGGGAGGTCTTGTGTCAAAGGCTGGAATGAACTTTATTAACTAGGTAAGAGTGACTTCTACCCCAAGGATCTACTGGGTGAGGTTCACTGCCAAGACAGTTTTACTTTGTGAAAGAAGTAAATACGTGCTTCGTGCCATTAAAACAATTTTTACAGAGCAACAATTTCTCTTCTTGATTTTAAAGCCACCTCGATCTATGCAGAGTGAAAGCTTAAATAACATTATACTCCAAATGAACCATTATTTCTAGAAGTAACTATTGAGAGCTGGCATTCTACAATAAGTGATATACACTTATTTTGAAGCAGATTTTTTTTTAAATTCAAGGAATCATGTCATCACTGTTTTGAAACGATGACCATTTCATGAGTGGAGGGCTCACACAGGCCACTTCCAGCTCCGGACTGAGATGGAGGCATGTGTGCGTGCAGAAACACACACACTCATTAATCAAAGTTTATGTTCTGTTCAGATTTGGATGCACATTAAGAGATATTCATTTCACAGTTTTTGCTCCACATGTTACTTGTTTGCAAAGAGATAGATTTTCTCCACTTTTTTCTAATTAAAAAAACCCACCTAACAGGTTTTAAGGAAGCCTTTGAATTCAGCAGACCTAAGCTACTAAAAAGCCACACAGGTCCAAATTGCAGATGTTGACACAACTTGGCATTTTTATACACCGAGTCTTGCAGACCAATGCAAATTGAATGCCTGGGAAATGATTTTCCCTTACAAAGCTAGAAATTACCATTTAAATGAAAATGAACCAGAAAAATATTTCTAAAGAATTGGGAAATTGAAAATTTAAAAAATGCAAATTGGTGCAGAGTCACACATTTGTAAGGGGGGGAAGAGCAGGTGAGAATAAGAAACCTCATTACAATGAGCAGAATCAGACCCCTTTCCGAAGTCTGCAACCTGAAATATTTGACTAGATGATCTTTAGATAAAATAGGGAAAATATTATGCATTCAATTCACTCGATTACAATTTGACAAGCGGTAACTGGGTGCCTACTCTTCGCCTGAGGATGTGTCAGACGCAGGGACACAAAGATGAGTACCAGTGTCCTGGCTAAGCACAACATGGAGCCGCACAGCAAGGGCTTCGAGATGAGCCACTGCTGACTTCTAGCCTGTTGTGTCTCAGTGACTGCATGTTCTGAAGTTCAGAAATGGGTCAGTCAACTGGCATTTCTGGACATTTTTAAATTTAAACACTTGTGAAACAGATGAACCACCTCCAGAAATTTTCCAGTTTTTCAAGTTAAGTCTTATTTTGAATGGAAAAGATAGATTTCTCACGTCCACTGTGGTGATTAACTTAATAACAGGAATTAGTCTCCTAAAGCTGAAAATAGAAATGGGTCATTGATTTAAAAAAGGAAGCTGTTTGTCCTAGAATTTGCCATTTGGTTATAAAAAACTGAAAATGGCAGGAAGTATTTAAGCCCATAAAGTGATTATGTTATACTTTTAAAAAATAAACACACTGAGGACTCCTGAAAGGCAGTCCCCACATCTGACCACCATCAGGCCAGACAAGACCATTCAGCCTGTCAGAGGCCGGAGGGCTGCGACCCCGCTGGCACTGCCCAGACGGGGAGGGGTCTCTGCGGCCACTGAGCTCTACTGCTCTGGGGCCCTGGGCTGGTTCCCTCAACTTTCTGACTTCCCTTGAAGGTCAACTGTGGGTTCACTGAGCAGATTCGTAAACTACTGAGCAGATTCGTAAACTACTGAACAGCACAGGGCAGAGCAAGTGCTTGCTAGCCAGCAGTCACTCCAGGACCACGATGGGTTTCCTACCCGTCCCACGTTAAAGGGACAGAGAACTGTACGGAAGTATGGGGAAGTCCAACCAGCTAGAATTAGTTAATAATAAAGTCATAACCAAAATGTGCTGATTGCAGTGTCAAATGTCAAAACACATTCACATGAAGTTTCCTCACAGGCACCAAAAGTGTGCCTCTTTCAGTCCCAATTTACATAATTCTTAAGAGGGAAGCAAAAAGAGGTCTGGACGTTGCAAGCCAGTGAGTGGAAGCCAAGCAAACTGATCTGACGCAGAGACAGCTCACAATCACAACATGCCGTCTTCCTGAATTAGAGGCATGAGCGTGAAGAGGGACACAAACGCATCACTGCAACTCCCCTCTGAGGGTCTTCAGCACCACCGGGAATTTCCTGTCATACCATGGTCACACTGCAGGAAGATGTGAACCTTCTTTCTTGAAACTCTGACGTTCAGACCGCCTCAGAAGCATCACAGTGGTGCTCCTGCACACCATCATGCATTTCCAGGGCCACCTCCCCCGGAGTGCCACTCATTACCCAGGGAGCAGGAGGGGCAGAAACTGGCCCAACAAAGGATGGGGTGTTTGCTTTGGTTAGGAAAACCCTGGCTTAGTCTCTTTCAACTACTTTATCTAGTATCACTAAAGTGATGTTCTTTTTTTTTTTTTTTTTGGTACCGAGGATCGAACTCAGGTCCTTGCTCTTGCGCAGCAAGCGACGAAACCACTGAGCCAAATCCCCGGCCCTAAAGTGATGTTCTTTTTAAAAATAAAATCAGCTCTGAATTGTTCTATTACACAGGGTGGACCTCACGTCACTCCTACTGCATGGACCACAGGACAGCTATGAAACATCTTTAACCACAGACACCTAAACAGTTGCCAACCACCGTGGGCATGGTCATCAGTTATAATCTTCTTAACAAACATTAAGAAAATCAGAGCTAAATTCTGTATCACAACTCCAGGCAACCAATATTTTCTTCATGTAACAAAAACATGCAACCAAATAGAAGTGATAATTTATATTAATCAGATTTGTATTTTTAGGTTGTAAGATAATCTTAAAAGCGCCAGGCCAATTCAATAATGTTAGGTTGGTTCTATTCATAGTGATGTTAAGAGCAATCTTTTACTTAGAAAATATAACTATCGTCAATTTCCAATCAGTCAAGGCTTCCATCTGAAATTCAGCTCAACCTTGGGTTTTCCCATCTATCTTTCAGGGACTTCATTAGAAGCAATGCAAACTAATTTTAGTTGTTAAAATCTGAATGGAAAACATTTAATTTAGCAAGAATACAATTCAATATATTCCAATAGCAAAGAAAAAAATATTTTGGCATTATCTGCAAATATAAATTAATCGTAAGCTCTAGAATAGATGAGATTTGATTTGCACTGCTATATAACCTTCAGGGAGAATGCCACCAGTAAACATTTCTTAGAGTTTCCAAGACATCACTCTAGGGACAACAACATGAAATTCATGGCTTTAAAACAGCATGATCATAGGACTTACTAACTGTTCAATTAATCACTGAAAATTAGTTTTAGGACAACTACTCCTGCAATAAGCATTAAATTAATCTTGTGGATTCTTATTCTGCTTTTCTGGGGGATATTACTTACATAGATAACCATCCACACTAAAGAAACAGAAAATGCCACGAGCCAGGTTACATGGATGTCCAAGGGACATGGCCAGCACCACCTCAGTTCTCCAGCCCTCACAAGACCATCACCGATTTGCTAACTTCATTCTCGTCTCAATTCACCCACAGTTTCTTTGCAGATAAAATGCATTATAACTGTGTGCTGCTTGCAGTCAAACCCACGAGTTATAAGACAGCCGTTTCATGGATACACTGGAATGGAGATGATAACTGAAGAGAAACAGAGGGACTTGGCAATTCACAGGAGAAGGACTCGTGCAGGTGAGCATGCAGCAGCAGCAGCAGCTGCCAGAGGGTTTACCTAGTTCACTGTCCAGCTCCTCGGTGTGGACCCCTTCTTCTCCAAAGGAACAGCAGGAATAGGACAGGAAAGAGAGAAAGAAAAATTCAGACACCAGCACCAAGAAGGAAACTCCTCTTAGAAAAACAAGCAACACATCACTTCATTTGTCCTTACCTGCATGTGGCTTATTTCACTGGCTTGGCTAATAAACTCTGAACCTCAAGGTAAAGCACAAAATGCTAAGAGCTGATATTGGCAAAATAATTCTATGGCTCATTTACCTGCATGGCAACACAGGATTTGATTGGCTGTAAAAGATGACAAATACCTTTGTGGTCTGGATGCTCCTAAGTGGGAAGTCATTTACTGTGGACCTTATTTGCAGCAAATCAGGCTGTTAGACCTTTCATTAGTCCTTTTAATCCTTCAATAATCCTCTAATCAGTGAGGCAATTACACCATCATTAAGGCACTATTTAGCTTACAAGTAGCTTGAAACATGGAGGGTGAGGTCAAATAGAGAGTGAACTGTACAGTATACTCTGTGTCTTTCCACAAGGAGCTACACAAATGAATCGTGTCATGGTGATGTACATGGAAGAGGTGAGGCCTGGATGCCGCCCTGGAAGAGGACTGGGAAGCAGGGTTTCCTGATTTTGAATTTTTTGTATGTAATTTTTCTAAGTCATGAAAATGTTCTCGGTGATTTCAGCAAGTAAAACAGGTGAAAAGTCTTTCCATTCCTGACTTCCTCTTGCTGACAGTAAAATATTTTAATCTTTACTGGGAGGAAAACACAGCCCAGCACACAGGAACCATTGCACACATGAACTTCCTTGCTCCAATTACACGGGGCTTGGAGAAGCCAAGCAAGACCAAGGCTGGCACTGAGCAGACTGCAGAGGCACTAACTGGGGCTTCAGGGTGGTCAGTGAGAACAGGAACACATTTACATTTAAAACCGCTCTGAGTGCAGCACAGGGAGGGCAGAAGCAAGACTCCGTGTGTGGCGCAGATCAGAAGTGGAGGAGGTGGCAAAGAAAATATTTAGAAGACCAAGCGAATCCAGAGGTTCATGGGCTAGAAGTGGGTGTGTAGTTATAGACTAATGAAACTCTTGGGTGTGTGTGGATTTGCCTTCAACTGAGACAGGGAACACTTAGTACAGGTTTCTTTGGGAAAGATCATCAGTTTGGTTTCAATCAGACTGTGTTTGAAGTCTCCTTGAGACATCCAGTTGGTTTATCAATCAGGCAGATTAAAACACTGGCTTGCAGCTCAAAAGCAATGTTGGAGACTTCTAGTAGAACTAGGCAAAGCAATGAGCAAGGCAGCAATGAATACCCTGAAAATCAAAATCCAAAGCCAATTTCTCATTTTGTGAAATAGGAAACAGAAAGTCTTTGTAATAACTGAGTATAACTTTGTACTGTCATATCCCATGTGCAAATGAACTACAGAGTTAGAAAGAAATACAGTATTTGGGACTGACAGTGTATACTCGTGTCAAAATATAAACAATGACTGCAGCTTAGTGCTAACAATAAAAAATGAAGCTGATACTTGTCATAGTCTGATTATGCTGTCTGTACAGACACACAGACATACATGTAATTTCTACTAGATATAGAATATGTGAATTCTAATGTTGAAGGGATAATTACTAAAATGAACACATACTTGTGCTAAGGGAGATAACAGGAATGATAAGAATTCTAAGTGTTCAAAGATTTTGTAACAAAAATAGTTAGTAAATCTTCTCAATACTTTTCTTCCATTAACAGTTTTTCTCAGTAAAAGCTCTTGCAACCTCTGTCTTCTACAAATTTATATCAACAGGCATTTTCATGCATTCCCAGCGTAATTATACTGGACATTACACAAAAGACTCCGAGAGACTCAAGTGCTTTCAAAGTCATCAGTCATCAAATAAAGACTGAATTTTCCTTTCTAGAGTTTTATAGCTGAGGGTGTTCTATGTTCTGATCTTTGGAAACCTGTCACTATGTGCTCTATATTAAATGGACTCTGAGTAATCAGAACAGTGCTTTATCCCCGGAACATGTGAGTAACAGCTGCTCACAGCTGTCTCCTTACTCCTGCAGCCACGGACAAAGCCACCAAAGTGAGGCAAGAACCCGGCCCTTCCCTCCCAGCCGGAGGGACATGTGCTTCCACAAGTCAGCCCAGTAAGTGCACAGTTCTGCACGCATCTCGTGCTATGTCCCAGTCAGGCACAATGGGAGGCTAACCACGTGCACGTGGACTCCAGGTACAGCCTTGGAGTACAGCTGCAACACAACTGATCTGTAAAATACTGGCTTCCGTTTCCTGACAAACTTCACATGCACGTACAGAGTTCTTCATTATAGGATGAATTAATAAAGTTTTGTTATCTTATAGAAAAAAATGTGTATTCAATAATTATAAACTAATCAAATGTCAGAACTGAGTAACGAGCAGCAAAGTAAACCATTTCACTTTCAGTGAGTGCACAACAAAGCCATCTTGGTAGAACATGGGGCAGATGTCCCTGTGCTACCGAAAAGCGCTACACTTACTGTCTTCATTTTATTACAATTTCATTTTGTGTAAGTCATTAAAAACGCTCAAAGCTTTGAAATAAACCTTTTTAACAAAAACTCTTCTACTGATCCCAAAGTAAGAAGAGAGGTTGGAGGGCTAGGGATTTAGCTCAGTGGTTCCGGCGCCTGCCTCGCAAGTGCAAGGTCCTGAGTTCAATCCCCGGTACCAAAAAAAAAAAGAAGAGAGGTTGGCCCCAGGTAACATCTCAGCCTCTCTCTCAGAAGGATGTACTCTCTGCATATTGTGGGTATATCCCAAGTTACAGTGGTTCCCAACCAGGTCAAGATCTGCTTCCCCAACCCCAAACCGGGGCAACGATAAAATAACAAAAGATGTGGAAGCCAAGAACGAGCCTGAAGTTTTTCCATGACTTTCACAACAAAAGGCTATGGTCCAGGAGGTGTGAGTGATCAAGGTACCAATGGATTCTCTAGCCCTAGTTCTATGTGACTGAACACAGAGGACGAATTTGAATAGTTTCTGGCTAAGATCAGATTCTATTTCCAACCAAGACACTAGTTGGCACCTGCCTTTACTTGAAAATAAACTGCACTTCTGAAAACCATGTGCATTTCCTAGAATTAAACCACCTTTTAAAAACTCAGTGCTAAAAGACAGCTGACCTTGCTACCATGCTTTGAATCTGCACAGAGGGATAAGCCTCAGCTCTCTGCGCGTGCTCTGCTCAGTTCTTACCATCATCTTCACACTCTTCTAGAGGCTTCTGCTGCTTGCTCAGGCACCGAGGGTCTAACCAAGATGTTGTTTTTGTGTTATGGCTGCAATTCAGAAATAAAACAAGACATTTGTTTAAAAAGCAAAGAAAAAGAAAAAAAATTAATTGCAGAAGAATTTTAGACACACCTGAACCAACAGCAAACCCATACCAGAAGAGAGCCTGAGCTGGGAATTTTCTTGGAGAGAGTCTTGGGGAGGCATATTTCCCTACCTGAGATAGAATCATGGAATTACTGAAAGCTTATAGTATCACACCAGCTTTATTTCTGAAAAATGACTTACAAAAGACATGCCTTGCCTGCACTGTCTACTCTCATCTGGACTTATCACGTTAGTCTTCACATTTGCCAAACAGCAAATTTTAGTTTGTTTTCAAGTTGTCTCTGACTTAAATTTTGGAAATCTGGAAGGCTGCTATTTCACTAATTAAACTACAAGAGCACCCTCACGGCAGTGTGAAACTACCTCAATTCACGCGTGGCTCAAAACTACTGACACAAAGCATTCATCACAGCATGCTAAATTAGGCTTTAGGCATACTGACCCCAACCCAAAATTATCTATCATGACTAGAACCTGAGCTAAGAAAAAGCTCGGAGAAACTAAATGTGCCACCCCACTGCCTTAGGGAGAGCAGAGTCTAGCCCCAGATGGAGTATTTCAGCAGTGACTGCGGCCTTTGACATAGAGAAGTATATGGGATGTCCCCAAGGACACAGTGCTGTCCTGTACTCGTGTTGGAAGTGTCCCCAGCATGGCTGGAAGAAGTCAGCCTTTGCAGCTCACAGCGGATGTAGACACAGGGCTACAGCTCTGCCTGGGTGCTCCTCCACACTGTACTAACGGCTGAGCAGGGTGCTCCAAGTCCCGTAACTGTATGGCTACAAGCCATTAAGGAAAAAAGAATTCACGGTTTAGGCGGGGCATGGTGGCACATGCCTGTAATCCCAGCACTGAGGCGGTTAAGGCAGGAGGATCGCCATGAATTAATTCAAGGCAGCCTGGCTACACAGCGAGAGTCTGTCTCCAAAAAAAAAAAGTTCAGGCAGTAACTTCAATTCTTTTCCAAAGTCTGTAAATATGGGTAGGGTATTTGCCAGGATATTTTTTGTTTATTGTCTTGAATTATTAAAGAAAAAACTTAAGGCATAAATGACAAACAAAATATACAAACGCATACCTCTTAGCTCAATCATGTTAAAGAAAGAGAATCAAAAGGTAACACAGTGACCACCACCACTGCCGCTTTTTGGACCACTCACTACTATCGGAATCTAAGTGTTTTACATATCGCTACAGCTTGATTCTTAAAATGAGCCTGTGAGGGAAGCACTGCCCATACTAAAATCATTACTCCCCACCTGACAGATAACAGAACCGGGACAGAGAGGAGAAGACACATGGCTAGAACCGGAAATCAGCCCTGACAGTCTTGTGCTAGAACCCATGGTCTGTACCGCTGTGCACCACCTACAGTGACACTGGTCATTGCTGGGAGGGATGATGATACAGCACGTGATTTCAGAAAGCAAGTTTTTACTTTGAAATAAGTATAGATTTGCACGCCATCAAGAGATAACAGAGTGACCCTATACATCCTTTACCTCGATACCATCCATGGTGATGCCTTGTAGAACTGTATACTGACATCTAGGGTACTGACATCCACGTAATCAAGATACAGAATATTTACACTATCACAAAGCTCTGTCGGGGTATTCTTTATTGTTACACACCTGACAGTAAGGATTCCCCTTTCATCATTCCTCCAGAGCCTCTTCTTAATCCTTGGCCACCACAAAATTATTTCCCATTTCTGTAAGTTTGTTACTTCAAGAATGTCATGAAAGTAGAACCACAGTACATAATGCTTTAGGATTGGTGTTTTTCACTCAGCATAATTCTCATCAGGACTACTGTGCTTATCAATGATGATTTATTCTTTTCATGATTGAGTAGTATTCCATGGTATGGATGTGCCTGGCTAACCACTGAAAGGCATTTCTGGATTTTCACTATTCAAAATAAGTTTACAATAAACATACATGCACAAGTTTTTGTATAAATATAAATGTTCATACTACTCTGGGATAGATGATCAAGTGTGCAACTGCTGGATTGAACAGAAGTTACATGTTCAGTTTTCTAGAAGGTCATACAACTTTCATTCCCATCAGTAGTGCACAAATGATCCATTTCTTCCTATTTGCCCTCATTTCCTGCTGTCATTTTTTACTTCCCATACCCTAAAAGGCATATAATGACACCTCAGGCTTTCAACCTCCATTTCCCTAAAGATAAAGGCGTTGAATATTTTTTTCATGTGCATATTTCTTTTCTTTTGGTACCAGGGATCGAACTCAGGTCCTTGTGCTTGCGGAGCAGGTGACAGAACCACTGAGCTAAATCCCCGGCCCCCGAGTAGTTTATTTTTACTGTTGAGTTTTGAAGGTTCTTTATATATTCTAGATACTAGTCCTTTCACAGATATGGGGTCTACGAATATTTTCTCCCAATTTGTCGTTTGTATTTTTATCCTCTTACTAAGAGTCTTCTACAAATCAAAATTTTTTCATTTCAATGAGGCTGGATTTATTAAATATTTTCGAGCATCATGCTTTTAATGTCAAGCCTAAGGATGTTTGCCTAGTCCTAGATTTCAAAGATTTTCTTTTTGTCTAAATGTTTTATTGCCTCATATTTTACACTTCGGTCTACTGTTTGAGTTAATTTCTCATGTAGGGTGTGAGGCTTAGGTTGACGTTAATTTATATGCCACTGGCTGTCCACTTGCTCAAGTACCATTTATTAAAAACACTATCTTTCCTGGCACAAGTTGTTTTCATGCCTGTCTCAAAACCCAGCTGAGCACATTGTGGATCTGCTTCTGGATTCTACATTCTGTCCTGCTGAGCCTCATGTCTTTCCTCCACCAATACCACAAAGTCCTTATTGCTGTGGCAAAATAACAAGTTTTGGTACTGAGTAAGCTGATTACTCTGAGTTTTCTTTTTCAAGTGTTTCGGCTACTCCAGTTCCTTTGCATTTACAATTACATATTTTAAATAAACTTGTCTATATCCACAAAACACCTCACTGAGATTCTGACAAGAAATGTATTAAACCTTTCAGGAGCACTGACATTTGAGCTAGTCTGCGTCTTCCAATCCATTAATAGTCTTTCCATTTATTTAAAGTTTCTTTGACTTCTTTCTTCAATATTTTGTAGCTTACAGCATACAAAAGCCTATTATTAGACTAATACCTGGGTGTTATTTTTTGAGCAACTATGGATTGCATTTCATACTGCCGTCCCAGTGCTCACTGCCCGTCTATACATGCCTATCTTCTTGCGTGAAACCTTGGTGAACTCACGTATGAGGTGTTTTAGGGTTCCTTTACATTTTTTTTCTATGTAATCATGTGATCTGCAAAAAGGGACACTTTCACTTCTTCCTTTCCAAAGCACATAGATTGTATTTCCTTCAGGCCCTATAAAACCAGCTGGTCTTTTGGCATGGTGCAAGTTGACATCGTCAGCTTTTCTCAGACATTCAGGGAAGGTCTTTATTCCTTCACGAATAAGTAGAACACTAGCTACGGGCTTGCCACCTGTGCTCGTTATTAAACCAAGGATATGTTTCCCTTCTGGTTTTCTGATTTTTACTATGAACAATTAGTTTTGTAAGTGCTTTCTCTGCCTTCATATGGCTGGCATTTTGGTCAGTGTTTCAGGCTGTGAATGTGGTGGATTATACTGACTGATCCTCCTTCCCCTCTCCGTGTGTGTGTGGTGCTGGGGATCAAACCCAGGACACCACATGAGCTGGGTGAGTGCTATGAGCCAGGCTTATATCATTACAGAAATCTCCACACTGTTGTAAGAATCATCTAATGTTGCTGAACGTTAATATGTAATTAAAATTTTTGGATCTTTTTGGTATTCTTTGTTTAGTTTTGGTATCAGGCTTCATAAAAATAATTGGGAGATCTTCCTGCTCTTCTATTTTTTGGAAGAAACTGTATATAAATGGTGTGTGCTCTCTCCAGTAAAACCATCTGGGCCTCCGATTTTTTCCAGGAATTTTAAAATTAAAAATTTGTTTTCCTTAGTAGTTACAGGGATACTTAAGTGATTGCATCCATAGTAGATGAGTTGTGGTATGCTGTTCCTCCTAAGGGACTGGGAATTGGCCCTTCATCCAAGGTGCCAACCCCGTGTGTGTGTGTGTGTGTGTGTGTGTGTGTGTGTGACTTGTCAGCGGCACTCCCTGTTACCTTCTGGATGTCTTCAGATTTCCATTTCACTCCTGACCCTGGTGATGTCTCTCAGGGTTTCCATCAGTCTTGCTGGACATTCTTCAGTTTTATTAACCTCTGAAGGATCTGCCATTTGTTTCAGCAGTCTTCTCCCTTGGCTTTCTGTTTCATGGCTTTCTGCTCTTTATCATTTCCTTCCATCTGCTTATCTAGAGTTTAATTGACTCTTCTTTTTCTAGGTTCCGGGGGTAAGGACTTAGATTGCTGATTTTAGAGGTTGGTCTCTTCTAATGTACATGTTCAATGCTGCGAATTTACCTCTGACCACTGGCTTGGCTGTGTCCCATCTATTTTGATATGCTGTATTTTCATTTAGTTCCATTTCTAAAAAAATTTCTCTTATGACTTTTTTGATTCATAGGATTTTTTAGAAATGTGCTATACACTTTCTAACTGTCTGGAGATTTTACCAGTTTATCTGATATTAATATGCAACTCTTGTTTTTACTGATTAATATTTGTAGGATATATTTTCCCACATTTCACAGTCAACAACATATTTGTTATGTTAGGAATAAGTTTTTGTAGACAGCATATAATTGGGTGATGTGTTTTAATCCACTTTGTGGATGATCTTTTAACTGCTATATTTAGTTTACTTTATTTACCATATTTATTGATAATTTTGGGGCTTAAGTCTTTTACTTTGTTTTCTCTTTTTCTAGTTTTCTTTTTCCTGTTATATTTGTCTATTCTTCCTGTGGGTTACTCAATTTAGAATCCCATTTTTATTTACCTACTGTACTTCTGAGTGTATCTCTTTGCATAGCTTTTTAAGTGGTGGTTTGATAGATACATATCACACATATACATATAATCACAGTGATTCCTCCCCTAGTTTGATTAAAATATACAAATCTTATCTTCACGTATAATCCCTTTCCCTCTTTCACTTGTAAGAAAACTACCTAGAAATAAGTTTACATACATTGGGAAAAAATTAGTGTTATTTTGGCTTCAATCTTTTAGAAAAATCGAGAAGAAAAATGTATCATCTTTATTTATAACTTTACTTTTTCCATTGTTGCTTTTTTCTTCCTAATGTTGCAAGGTTTCTTTTAGAACTGTCTTTTTTAAAGAGAATATCCTTTAGTCATTCATTTAGGGTAGGCCTCTGGTCCCAAATTTTCAATTTCTTCATAAAGTAATATCCTTATTTTCCCTTCATTCGAAAGGCTATTTTCACTGGATGTAGAATACTGGGTTAATTTTTCTTTGCTCTTAGTACCTGAAAAATGCTGTGCTACCTCCTTCTGGCCTCTGCCATCTGAGGAGAAATGAGCTGTCACTTGGATTATTGTATTCACATATATTCTTGTTTGTTTCAAAAGTTTTGGGTTTAGTTTTCAAAAATTTGACTATGATGTGTTTCTTTGGGTTCATTCTGTTTGAGTTTACCAAGCTTCTTGGACCTGTGGGTTTATTTCTTTGTCAACTCCGGAGGACTTGCAGACATTAGTTCTCCGAGGACTTTCCTTTCCCTCCAGTCTCACCCACTTTCTCTTATCTAGGACTCCAAGGTTGAAGGCTGGACCTTTGTTATTGGTCGAAAGTCCCTGATGGTCGGTTCCTTTTTTTCTCTCCTTCGTTTTTGTGTTGTTCAGGTTGGGTGAGTTCTGTTTTCTATCTTCAAGCTCATGAATTCTTTCCTCTCCCTTTCATTCTTGCATTGGACAGTTGGATAATGCTAAATCTATCTCCGGAGCTTTTCACTCTGCCTGTGATTTTTGTTTGTTTGTTTGGGGACTGAACTCAGAACCTTATGCTTTTGAGGCAGGTGCGGCGCCACTGAGCTAAATCCCCGGCCCTTGTGTGTGGTGTTTTTGACTTCAAACATTTCTCTTTTTTTTATCTTCTATTCTTTTTCTGAGACTTTTTTTGCTGAAGTGTTCTATTTTTCCATTTATTTCAAGCATGATTATAATTATCCATGAAATATTTCTGTAATGGTTAATTCAAATTTTGTTAGATAATTCAAACATCTCTGTCACCTTGGTGTCACCGCTGGACAGTGCTGAAAATCTTGACTCCTCGCTAAGCCTCTTCAGACAGCACCCTGATTCCCACAGGTGGGGTGGAAGTCCAGCCTTCCCTCGTGGAGTCCCTTTAGAATCCAGGTGGGGAAAGCCAGGACTGGCTCCTATCTCACTGCAACTAAGTGCTAGCAGCACCCCGGCAGGATGGCCAGGCCTGTTGCCTGACCTTGGCTGGTGGGCCCAGGGCAGGACCACAGGCTGTTCTGTGCTGTTGCCTGGAATATAATGGATGTTTAGTAAAATCACCTGTCTTGCAGGATGCTCCTTTCCTGATCCTTCAGCTCGAAAAGCTGGCTTCCATTAGCTCCAAGTCTGGGCTGAATGACAAAAAGAAAACCCCAGGAATGACCTACCTGTCACTCCTTTGACCCTCTAGCTCTACAGCAGCTGGTTTTATTTGCCTCTCTTTTCAGTTTTCTTAGGCTGTTTTCTATACAGCATCCAAGGTTTCTAAGTCCATGCTTGGTTTTTAAGTGTTCTTTTCACTTCCAGTATTTTAGATTTCCCTCAAATTGTAAAACAAACACACACACACACAGCAAGGTAGATCCAAGTCTAATGACATACAACTTATTATTCAATGTAAGATACTAAAAAAACTGTTCAGAATGAAAGACACTTGAAAACTCAGTAACCAGGGTATATAATTTCGGCTAAAATATAAATGGCCCATATTTATTTCTGCAGTGGTGCTGGGGATCCAATGCGGGATAAGCACATACTAGGCAAGCACTTTGTCACTGAGCTGTACTCCTAACCCCTTCATGTCTAAGGCACTTGAAGCTTCAGATGGAGTCTCGCACTTGTCAGAGCCACATTTTTGTGTCATTTTTTAAACCTCAGGTCAATGAAACACTGGCCTTATATCAGCTAAGGGAAAATTAAGTTTTAAACACTGGCCAAGCACTGCCCTCTGCTGCGAGCTGCCAGTCTTGGAGGCTACGGTTCATGAGCCATTGACATGTCCCCCTTCTCTCCTACAGCTTCAGTCGCCTTCAGCAAGGTGAGCGCTGCATTCCTTCCCAAGCACTTGAGCTTCACACACTACTCCGCATCTGTTACATGTCACTTTCTCAGCACCATTCTTCCTTACTAACGGACACAATCTCAAGAGCAACTGTTTGAAAGGCTACGCAGAAATCCCGAGCTTATCTTGCTTGAGCTTAGCTGACTCCATTTTTATTTTAACAATGTTGAAATAACCACAAATGATGAGGATGAAAATTGCAACAGTAATAATGAGAGCTCATTATTACTCATGAATGCTTCACTCTTACCACTGCCTCTAATTCTCACGACAGTCTATCGAGGCAGGCAGGTCTCACAGATTTCTTCCATTTATGAATATGAAAAACTGAGAGGCAAATTGGTACACTACATCTCACGACTGGTAGGTGATGAAGACAACATGAGTTTTCAGCTGTTAGTCCCTGTACTGCTCTAACTCTCAGGAAAATGTTCTTCTCATCCACAGCTCAGTACAGGTTTTCCATTTACACGAGAAAGAGAAATGGTCTGGCCTCTCCCTCTGGTTGGACAGCACCACTGGGGCTCTCTTTCATCCATCCTGGATGTCTCACCAGAAAGCTTCTCAGAGAGGCTGTTCTGGGACCCAAGCCTCTCCCTCATTCTCCTGTGTTCAGGAAAATTACACTTTCTTATTTTTACTATTTTTTCTAATTACAGAACACGTTAAGTATAAAAAATTCAAAACCCACAGAAATGGATAATGTGGTTAGAAAATAAATTTCTTACTTAAATCCAACTATTAATAGATAACCCAGATTCCATACATACAATTATTTCTACCTAGTCCGAGAAACAAATGTATACATATGTGTGATACTTCATATTTTCTTCTACAATGCCCTCTTCTGTTATTGTTCATCTAACAGCAGACCTTCAACTTCAATCTACTGAACAGATTTACAGAGTGTGATCAGAATATACAGTGAATGCTTAAATTTAAAAAATTATTACAGTAAAAGACACACTGCAATTAATGTCCCTCCAAATACTCCCTTGGCTTTAAACGCATTTATCCCATCATTAAGATGTTGATGGTAAGCCATAAACCAACTACTAAGAAAGTAACTTAAAAATAAAGAATAAAGCTGGGTGTGGTTGCACAGGTCTTCTGGGAGGCTGGGAGGAAGACCTCAAATTTGAGCCAGACTGAGTAATTTAGGGAGAGACAGTATCAAAATTTTAAAAGGGAGGGTGGGGCCTGGAGGTGCACCTCAGTGTGAAGGCCCTGGGTTCAATCCCACAAAACAAACAACAAAACAAAAACACTAAAATAGATCACAGACCTAAATATAGGTATGAAACTATAACACTTCTAAAAGACTTACAGGAAAAAGTCAGTATGACTGTGGGTTAGGCAATGATTTCTTAGCTATTACAGTGAAAGAAAAAATGTGATAAATTAGATTTCATCAAAATTGAGCACTTCTACTCCTCAAAAACCACAGTGAAACAATGAAGAGTGAGACTTGTAGAAAATGCAAATTACAAATATGGTAAGGAGTTGTAGTATCCAGAATCCATGAAGAAATCTTAAAGTTCAACAGTACGCAAATGACAAGCCAATTAAGAAAAAGTAAACAGAGAATTTATAATTTTAATGCTAAATGCACTCTGTATATTTCAGAACACCATATAGGAAAAAATACCTACAATTAAAACTATTCAGGAAAATCTAAGACAGGGTGATTTTCCCAATCAATAGTAGTCAGATTGTATTTTGACTCATTTTATCACTGACATTCACCATGTTTTTAGGTATCACCAAAGGCCAATTAAACTATTTTTAGAAGCATAGTTACATCTGTTATATTCATATAGAGTGAAATTTCTACTGTTTGGTGAACAATAGAACAGTAACATTTGCAGAAGAATGTATAAAGTATCTCACTTTTGCAAAAATATGTGCACATATACATATACATACTCTGTGCATTATCTATGTATATTTGCTTCTGTGACTGAGTAAGTAGAATTCTATAAAATTCTAAGACAATTAACATCTGGGTTTGAGTGTGGCATTTATTTAACAAAGAGTTGTTAAATCCTTATAAATACTATCGGTGAGTGAGCAGTTCTTTCAGATCTGATTTATTATCTGCAGCTGCTGGACAGAGGGAGGAAGTGGAAGAGACAGATTCAGGTACAAAGAGTGGTATACTTTACTCTATAAAGTAGACTTCTCCATTTTCCGTATAGGCCATCTCCCAGTTTTCAGGTAGAGGACCTAAATTATCCTCTGCAGAAAGAGGTAGGTACTGAGGGAACTTCTGAGAAGGGTCCGTGTTGGGAGCAGCAGCGATGCTACTATTCACAGATGAGAGTGCTGCTTCCTGCAGAGTGTGCTCGTCCTGGTCACCAGAATCGGCTGTAATCAGGTTGTGGGGGACAGAGAGAAAAACAGGTAAGCACAAAGGCATTCAGCACCACAGTGTAAGCTGAGACGCAGACCATGATACATCTGTGCTCTTAAAAGCCCCGCGTAGCATGCGCAAAGCCCTGGGCTCAGTAATGCATCGCTCACATTTCTTTGGAAACATCAAAGAAAAATCCCAGGAACAACTTGAACCCTAAAGAGTCTGAAACTCAGAAGCCCTTCAAAACACAACCTGATCTATACCTTCATTCCATTCATATTATTTGGCTTCATGGTTTAGAGAAAAAAATCTTTGCTGAAAACATGAATACAGTGGCATTTCTTTTCTTTCTTTCTTTTTTTGAGGCATTTTTGTGTAAGTTATTTAAAACTTTCTTGGTAGACCCTGACAAAGACCAAAGACTGACAAATTAAGCTGCAAAGTATGTAAAAGTTTAGAATGTAGAGATAGCTTACAATGAGTCATATTTGAACCTCTTTTGAAAAAGAAGAGCCTGCTCCTGTGAAAGCCAAGACAGTCACTCCAGAGCATGGCCATGTGGGTGGACTGATGTGACCTGGGCCTTAGTGCCCCAGCCTCTGTGCCTTCAAGGGTGATGTCATCCAAGTGTCTACAACAGCACTACTGACATTCTGGTGGAACTTTCTGGAAGCTGATGACATAAATGTGAATCTCCACATGGTTTTAAAACATAATCCTCAGGGAATGCTGTGATTTTCTATTTCCCACAGTAATGTTCCTGCAGACATTTCTGACTGAGTGAAAGCAGACTGAAGAATAACAAAAGCTTGTTTTCAAAGCTGTTTCTGATGAGCAGTTCCCAATGACACACACGAGAAGCAAGGTGATCTAAATGCTGGGCGGAGGATACACCATGCTTACAGAGCACCACTGAGGAAGCTGCCTGGAGGTTTCCCCCACCCTGCATCTCTTCCCTTATATTCTGGCAGCGCCACTTAACTCCTTTTAGGAAATCACCCCTCCATTCCAGGACTGCCTCCAAGTTACACTCTTTGCCCAGGGGAATATTCTATCCTTTTTGCCTTTGCAGTTGGTTCAGCCCTTAAAGCAAACCAATGAATGTCGGATATGGGAGCTTAGCTGGAATATTAAGTCAGTGGTGACATCTGGGTGCTGGGAATATGTAGTCAACAGGTCGTTAAGCTGTGGCTGCTGGTGGCCATTTGGACACAGCTTAGCCACAGCTACTGAATAATGGAACCACACAGAGGAAAGTGGAGCAGAGAGAGGGAGAGAGAGTCAGAGAGAGACAGAGTCAGAGAGAGACGGAGTCAGTCAGAGGGAGACGGAGTCAGAGGGAGACGGAGTCAGTCAGAGGGAGACGGAGTCAGAGGGAGACGGAGTCAGAGGGAGACAGAGTCAGAGAGAGGAGACAGAGAGCTGCTTAAGGTCCCTGGCCCAGCCCTGAGTTCCAGGCCTGAGACCAAGGCCCCACTGCTATGTTCTGGTGTCATCCTCAGTCACTTTCCTTCTGAAGCCATTATGAGTTGGTTCTTCAATGTGTATCACAGAGTTCAGATTAAAAGAACAACTGTAAGTTCGAAAAAACAAAGAGGAAATTAGGCTAAAACAGAAAAAAGAACTGACTCATAACTGATCAATAACAAAACAAATTCAATCCCTAAAAAGAATGAAAAGATTCGGCTTTGCTTCTCTTAAGGGCTCCCTATTCCAGAAGACAGGTTTAGGATAAAATTCAAAATGAGGGATGTATTTGTGAAACATTTAGGAGATAAAGATTCAGCTGGTATACTCTGAAGATGGAAGGAATTATCCAAAGAATGGAAAGAAAACACGAGGCAGAACATCAGGTGTGCGAAGGCCTATTTTCAGTGTTCACTTGCTTCTGCATTTGAACCTGTCGTGTTCCAGAATCACTAGCACCGACAGCTTCCGTGGGCTGCTGCTATGCAGCCACTGGGCAGGGAGGTGCAGCGCCTCAGGAGCCAAGCCCTCTGCTTACCTCACCTGCCAGGAGGCAAAAGGGGTGGTGGGCATGGAGCACTGCAGGGGTGCACCCAGCTTGAGGGGCTCGGTGCCCGGAGCAGAGTGGACTTAGGATCTCAGACCCCTGATTTTTTAAGAGAAGGAAATCTGTATTTTTACATGAAATCTTCCAAGCTTTCAGTAACAAAATTCCTTTAAAAAATAATGGAGTCTGGCACAAGCAAAAAGCGAAAGCTTGACTATAAGCACTGACTCTGGAGCCACAGGGACTGTGTTTGGTTCCTGGCTCTACCATTTGCAAAGGAAGACCACGTGCAAAACCTTGGTGTGCCTCAGTTTCCTCATCTAGAAATGGGCATGACAGCAACCCCGGGCACGTAGGGTGGTGGGAAGGGTGAAATGAGTTACTCTGCGTGAAGCACTCAGAACGGTGTCTAGTACACAGTCGGAGCCACTTGCTAGGGCCCTTTCATCATCACCATCGCCATCTTTACCCAGAGTATGACTGATTTTTATCTTTAGGGCAGGGCTGGCCCTGGGCTGCCGTGTGTTAAAAGTAGGCAGGAAAAGTATAGGTTATGAATCAGACCCCAGACCACGTTGCAGTTTGTCTATCTGAGGGAGACTGAGCAGCTTTCCCTTTCTGAATGCCTCCCTACCTGTCAAAGGGGCACAATGCACAAGTCACAAGAGCTGAGTGCTCCCGCTCACGAGAAGCACAGAGTGAACCTGGGGCACACCCTGAAAGAGTGCTTTTCGTCCCTGGCCACCACGAGGGAGCAGCTCTGCTCCACGGGCAACTCCCCACTGCTTCGCCACAGGTCCACAGACAGTGGGGCCAAGCGATTGTTCTCTGGACCTCTGAAAAGGAGCCAGAGTGAGTCTCTGCTCCCTCAAGGTGACTTCCTCAGGCCTCTGTCAAGGATGAAAAGCGTAAACCCAGCCTCCCAAGTACGGAGAGGACAGGCGCATGCCACCACGCCCAACTTGTGTTTCTTTTAGATATGATATCTAAGAGGCAGCAAACTGCAGGGAAGGCATGAATAATTTCATTATCAAGTTTAATGGCACCATTTTAATAGAAACTGGATGTGAGAGAACAGGGTAGTGGCTACAGGTGGGAATCCACATATGAGATGACAGAGACTCAGTTTAGCTCTGAGTGCACATAATCAGGTTAAAAACGAAATTCTGCCAGGGTTTACAAACCTAACTCCAAGAAGGGAATATGAGCTTGCTAGGCAAGAGTCTAAGTAATTTTAATTTCCAGGAGAAAAAATATCCCCCCAGCAACTGTATATCTTCAATTATCCCAGTGTTTGTTTTTAAATATGTTTTTAATTTTTTATTTAATTAATTGATTTATGCGGCACTGGGACTGAAGCAGAGCCTACACACTGAGCTACATCCTCAGGCCTTATTTTTACTTGACGCCGGGTCTTGCGAAGTCACTGAATTGTCGGGGCAACTGTCTCGATGTGGTCCATAGTCCCCCCAAAGTCTCTGTGTGGGAGGTGTGGTCCTCAGAGCAGCAGTGTTTAGAGGCGGGCTCTGCTCAAGTCTGTGAACCTCCTGCTCCACCTCCCCAGCTGCTGGGATTACAGGTGTGGACCACCATGCCTGGCTTTTGTTCTGATTTTATGTGTCCTTCCTGCCTTTCCAGTTAAAGAGAATCTTAAATAATACAATTCTCTGAAAGCAGATGTAAAGTCCGAAAATGAGGGGCTGGGACAGACACAAGATAGAGCGCATTGCCTCAACCAGGACTCTGACTTTGATACATGCTCAGGCTTTTAAAAAAATCACTCATTTGATTTGCAAAACACTCAGGAGCGTTGCTAACACTTCCTAACTAAAGGTTGCCAATGAATCCAAGAAGGACCTTCGGAGAGGAGTGCTGGAAAGTGTAGACCGGGGACAGGAAGCCCGCCCTCCCAGCCCTCAGCAGTGCAGCACGCACTTTCTTCAGTGTTCTCACATGCAGACTCGGAAAGTAACGGCTGCGTTGCTATCTCTCAAGATTTCTGGGAGGTTTACCACATACACATGAAAATGGTTGGGAAACTGTAAGTGAACACAAAGAACACGATTCTTCATAGTAAACCAGAAGTTTCCAAACATACACAAGCTCAGATGCACACACGACACACACTTTCTCCTGGAGACTTCTGGAAATGACTGAGAGCACGGGCTCATGTCCAAAAAATCATTCTTGAGGCCTATCTTAGATTGTATGTACATCGAGATTTATGTACACCTCTTACTGTGCAAAATCAGTCACCTAGTTGGGGCTTCTTAGCTTTGATAAAATCGATCTAAAACAAACAGCACAGGAGATGCAGATGCAGATCCTGGAGTTCAATTTTCAGGGTTGGAATGGTATTTCTGATACTCACTGGGGCTTTGTGGTACTGCAGAAACTATTTGACCTCCTCGGTGAACACATAAAAAAATGTGTCTGTCACACAGTAGCACAGAAACATTAGCTCTTATAAGTGCTATCTTTTAACATTCAAACCATTGCTTTATCATTGCCTACCAATGAAAGTGTCAGCAAGCTAATGTTCAACAGTGGGGGGCTACCAGGAAAAAAGTCTAGTAATACGATTACATAATTGTTTGACATCTTCTGGAGGTGATTAACAGATAAATCAAAGATGTTTTAGTTGTGGTAGCTTACTACATAGTTTCCAGGTTGTCTATAATGAACAATATATTTTTAGAAAAGATTTTTTGTTTGCATAAATAACTGTGTGCTTTGGCCAACAGTATAATTGTATCTTTATTAAGCATATACAAGGAGTGTTCTCTCTCATTGGCTCCTTGTAGGTCCATAAATTGGGCACAATGTGTGGAAGACTGTCCTACTGTCTGGGGTTCAGCAGTCAGTCCTCAGTGACTGTCTGTTCATTGCGTAGCCCCAGCCTAAGTCAGGACTGCAGACAGAAGCAGGGGCTGCCTTCCCAGGATGTGTCTGTCCACCAAGCTCCCTGGTGTTCTGCCTACAGGCAATGCCAGTTTTAGACACATTAGCTATGACTCTTGCAAAGACCCAAGCAAAGGGCAGTAAGGTAATAGCAACTGCATATTATTTCAAATACCCTGATAAATATCATGTACATAGCATAGACTAGGTGTGTTAATTTTTTGAAAGAGTGAGTATCGGTACATGACAGATCGTCCGTGGTGATAGTTTCAGTCTTGTTCGTGAAGGTATAGATGCTGCTTGAATTTTTGTTTTGTGCAGAAACTAATGATCAGATGATTTTAGCAATGATGGCATGGGCTGACATCTTGTGCTTGGAAGCCAGAATTTCAAGTGGGGACGATATGGGGTCAGATTGTCTGAGGCACGGCTTCGAGAGGCATAAATCTACAGTAGTTAGAAATAGGAAATAGGTCAAGCCTAGTACTTAATGTGGGACAGGGCACATAGCCTTCTGGGGCCCACCCAACTGCTTCACAGAACTGTTTCAGGGCATCTTACCCGCCAAGTCTTCTCTTGCTGTGATCATATGTATGTTTTGGTTATATGATGATGTTATTGTTATTTATTGAACCATCAAGACATTAAAGCACTAGTTTTTAAAAAAGAAGTGTTCACACTTTTCGATGCTCTGTTTCAATTTTGGTGAGGACTAGTATAAACAGATGAAATAACTCTCAAGAGATGAAATTAGTTGATTCTAATACAGACAGACATAAAGAGTGGTGAATTTCTTTTAGATACGGTAACTGTAGAGGCACTGGTGTATCACATTCTGATTGAGAAAATGGAAGTTTTCATGGAATCAAATCCTGGAATTATAAGTGATTTAATTCTAGCCTGTCATTTTACAGGTGAGTGAGATTAGGCAAACTGCCCATAGAAAGACAAATACCAAGAGCCACACCATGGTATCAAATATCTCCTCCTCCTTTATCGAATTTTCTTGCAAAAGGGTTCAGCTATGCTACTGCTATGGTAATAAAGTCATCAAATAACTTTTTAGTTGCCATCTTAACAAATTTTAGGGTTTTCAGTGTGGTTAGCAGATTTTATAAAACTTCAGAGAGACCCATACAGGCCATAGACAGTATTTAACAGTAGAAAACTTTTTCTCGAATATTCTGTTAAATTTGATGATACTGAGGGGAAATGCAGGTCTAATAATTTCCCCACTCTTAGGGGCTTAGTCTACACCACACTAATGACAAAAGTATGGTGATATGATAAAAAGACAATATAGGAGGAAGATCTTACATGCTGAACATGGAAAATGTGTTCATAGCTATAACTCTAAGTATCTAAAAAAATTAAATATTAGAAAAATAGAAGAAACAAGAGGGTTTGCTGAGTCACCTTATAGATTAGCATAACTCAGTCTATACGCAGCTATTCAAGTTCAGGTTACTACATAAGGTCAAAACCCTGATATAGTAGAATATATTTTTGAGGGCCGGGGATTTAACTCACATCAAATCGTACAATGTTTCTTTTTCCATTTGTACCCCTTTAAGGGTATTTAGCCAAATCTGCACAAGTTAACTGAACACATGATACGCTTCCTCTGTAACCACTTACAAAGATGTGCGAGAAGGGATGCTGCTAGCTCTCCACACAGCAGAGCTGACATTAAACTGATAAAATACATTCGCATGTTTCACTTTACAGTAATCAACCATAACTATGGAGATGTTTCAAGAACAGAAAAAAATCAACAAAGTAAAAAAATTTACATATATCATTTTGAAGAAAAATAAACCAAGCTAATACTTCTTGATTCCCTTTTTTATACATTTATCCCCACCTTATTTAAAATACTTGGGCTAAGTTACAATGTTCCTGAGAGGAAGCATGCCAAGCAGCTGGAGGATAGCACTGCTCTCCTCCCAGCACTGGCAGTCAGTCTGAATTCTGCAGGTCCTCTCCAGAACGGCATCCTTCCCCGAACTCTGCACCCAGCCCTTACCTGTGAAGCTACTGTTCATTTCAGGAACATCCTCTTCCTCCTCATTCTCTGCATGGGCTATGCCAGCACTTTGCATATCATTGTAGGACTTGGTTCGCTTCGGGGTCGACTGCTTGGAGCCAGACCGAAGACTGTGCAAGGCATCGGTTGTGATCACCTTCCCCCTGACTGGCTGGCTGGGAGGCTTGGGTGTCCCGTAATAGTTTCCTAGGTGATGGAGAGACACATTTGCATGTTTCAAGAAGAATACCTTGGGTTTTTTAAAGAATATACATCCAAATCTCTCAGCATATTAAAAAAATAAAACTGGAAAACGGGTACACTGTATTTCATTTCTGGAATGGATTGTTGAAGATGTCTTTGCCATCCAGATATGCATCGTGATTGCAGAAGGGAAGAGGAAAGCTGCACTGTTCTGGTGCAAAGAACCTACTGAGCTAAAGACAAAAGAGGCTGTGCTGAATAGAAAATCTTCATTCTCGTTACATTTGAATTTCAATTGGTCATCTTTTTATATATAGACACTAGCATAGAGCAGAATCTGATTCAGAGTGAGCCTTACAGAAAATAGGATTCACTACTGCCAGCTCCTTACAGGCCTGCAAAGCTGAGGTCTCCTGCGCTGTTCAAGGGAGATCCAGGGCAATATTTCAGGAAGCGGGCAGTGGGCAACATGTGGCGCCTCTTGACTCGAATGGCAGTGGGTTGCACAGGGCAGGAGCAACCCTTGCAAGCTAAAGCAGGGAGCGCTGTGTTAAACTGGCACCATAGGGATTTTCTTCTAGAAATGGCCTGTATCTGCTTTCCCCTCAAGTTTGGTTCAAATCCCACTACAGCGTAGCACGTGATTTTGAGTGGTACAGAAGGTAGATTCTTGCATCCTATTTTTTTAAGTTTGCAATAGAAAAATCTAGCTGGTAAGCTATATTAGCAATACAAAGTTTCTCTTTCAAAATTAAGAGAAAAAAGTAGGGCTGTTAAAAAGCTACCTTAGTTTTAACTAAAAGTTTGAAAATGCAGATTTATTTAAGAAATTAAGCAACTGAGCAAGCAATAGTGATGGCAGTGATGGTGTTTCTTGCTGAAAACTTCTGTTTAAAGTATGTTATCTTTTAAGTTATTTTAAAGAAAGCATTTAGTAAACAGGTGTGTTCCTTTATAAAACATGAAGGTGTTTCATGAATAATCAAAGTTTATAAAACAATTAATAATCAATAATATTGACTTTTTTCTCCAGGTAATAAAAATATCAACATTAAAATGTCATTGATGCACTGAACACTTTAGGTCTTTTAGGCCAAGAAGATAAGAAATGATGTTCAATCCTTCGATAAATCTAAACCAATGTTCGTAAATCCAAGTTTAGTAAGGAAAAATTTGAATGTAATAAAGAATACTGTAAACCACGTCTTTTCCCTAATGATCCAACCTCATCCTGGCCTTGGTACCTAGTTACTTAGCTACACAACCATGAAAGGCAAAGAAAGACCAAAAGTTGGTCTTTGTGAGATCTACAAGTGATAGAAAATTAGCTTTCATTTTAAACTTTGTCCTTATAATTACAATTTCTTTTTTAAGAGAAGAGGATTTAATATTTCCTTAAAGTATTTTTTCAATCAAATTTTAAATACACACTCACTTTGGGGGGGGCCTTAATGGTCTATGTTAGCGAGGGAACTCTGAACATAAAAATCTAAAGACATGGCAGATTAGGGGGAATCATATGATCAAATTACATTATATGCACGTGTGAAAAGGCCACAATAAAATTCAACAGTCTGCAAAATTCATATATACTAATACATATACCTATTAGAAGAAAGGAAAAATGAAAGAAACAGGGCACCGTGTGTAAAGGAAACGTCTCAAGTAGGAATCCGAAAAGAGCTCCATTGGCCTCCCTCAGCTTGGTCACTGCAGCTTTGCCCAGAAGGGATTTATCAACCTCTCCAGGCCCTCCCTGGGCTGGCTTCCCAGCTGGAGGGCACAGGGAGGAGAGGGAACCTGAAGACAGGCATCCCTCCTGCCCTCAGGGCTCACCTGGAACAAGGGGGTCCCACAGGAGCAAGGGGGTTGAGGGGTCGGCTTTTTCCCTGACTCAAGGCTGTTCAGTGGAGGCTAGGAAAGTAAAATGGTTAGCTGTTTAAAAGGCAATCTCCACCAATGAGTGAAAAAGTAGAGCTAAAGCACTACTGAACTCAACTTTAATTCCTTATCATCACTATTACACCACGTACATTTTAGAGTCGGATGTTAAACTGAGGCTAATGTCTATAAATAAGAGCCCACTGCACAGTGCAGCCGAGGATGGAACTCATTACCCATCACTTCGTAATCATAAAATTCAGTTTCAGCAACATTAAAATGGCTCATGTTCTTAAAATTATTATCATTTAAAAACCAATTAGATCGTTGACATCTACCGTTTATAACAGAAATAAGTGCCTGGAAAATAAAAGTTCCACCCATGTTTAGCAAATATGTGTGGATTTTCCAGTAGGTGTCTGGCCTTGGTTTTCAAGTTCAAAGTATTTTTAAATTAATAAATGATTAGCTGATCTATTAATGCAAAATATGTAAAATAATCCACTTGTTCAGAACTGTTTTGTTTTCCTGGAAATTAAGATTGGAGGGAGATGAAGTATGTATTAGGTTGAACCATATGAAACTGCAGTTATACATCAATCAACAGCCTAGAAGACAGCACAGTTCAAATTTCACCACTAATTCACTATGTGATCCTCAGCAAGGCATTTTTGCAATTTTTAATGAATCTTTGCCTTCTGCTTTCAACTTCTAAGAAAAGTTATTTTACACCTAAAGCATTGTTATAAGGATAAAATAAGAAAGAAAAAGGGCTGAGGAAATAGCTCAGTACAAAGGTCCTGGGCTCAATCCTCTGTAACACACACACACACACACAATCCATTTAAAGCCTTTTGTTCAAGATACAACTGGTCACTACATGAAACTGGATGACACCTACTATTGACACTGTGAGTCAGCCTTTAAATTGAGGTCCATACCACACTGTGTAAAGGCCTGAAGAAAGCCTAGGTCTAAAGTGCCTGGCAGCAGGTACCTGACAGCTCTGCTTACTGCGGGAGGCAAGTAAGCCTGCCAATGACCAAGGAGCCAAATCTTTCACAGCACTGGACTCTCAGCACTTCGGACACAAGAAAGAGGGCGCAAGCTTCGATGACCCTACAGGGCGAGCCTGACAACTAAACACACAGGCCTTTCTGCATACGCTCTGTCAGCCTTGGGTCTCATAAACATGACATTGTCTCAATGTTTTGTGTTTCTCATTTGGTGAGCTTCACAGAAAAGCCTCTGTCTAGTGGTAGAACTGCAGAAGGTTCAAACTTTCCTTCAGAGAGATGTCTTGGGATTTCCCCCCACTTATTATTTTACGATAATTTGAATTGGTGTCCATCATTTAAAAATGGAGTGTTTCCAATCGAAATCTAGATTCTCAGTATCTCTGTGCAGTCTACCCACGGTCCCCAGCTCCTCTAGGCAATGCTGATAAGCAGAGCCTGTCTCGAGCTAATCTGTTGCAATACACTCTAAGAACCAAGGATTCCTACAGACAAGTTCATCCTCTACTGCTGGCCATGCTTGGCCCCAAGCCAGAAGAGTGCTCAAAGGCTTTCAGTGCAAAGGACTGGGCAGGAACAAGGGTGTGATCAGCGGTACTAGTAGGGATGTACAAAACCTGAAACTTCTAAAACTCCTCACTGTTCACAAATCAGTCTCTAAGCTGATTTTGGGTCAATCTGTTTTGGCCGGGGCTTCCGGCCAAGGTGGGTCTGGCACAGGTACCAGCAGGATGGGCAGGGTTACCAGGGGATCCTGTCGCCAGGACCCAGCCTGTTCACCTCAAGCTCGATTTGCCTGGCCCCTTGGAATTACAGATCACAATGCTTACCTAAAAAACCTCTCCATCCTACCCAGAGTTTGCACTCTGGTCATAAAATAAGCCCATGTCTAGCCATGGCAGAAAAACACTAATCTTACAAGTATGCATTATGCATGAGCCTCTGTGTGAAGGATATATAGATCACTGACTGGTATTTAAGTAAAAGTTATTTGTTGAATTATAAATGACTTATGAATTGACTGAAGTTATTGCCTTGGCAGGCTACCCTTGAACCTGACTAGCCCGTGGGTTCCCGGTTACCTGCCCAGTGCACACTTCTGGAGGTGGCCAGGCTGCCTCTCCAGTGAGAACAGCCTCTTCCACTATTTTCAGAACTGGCCCTAGGATAAAACTCAGCACAGGGGTGGCCAGGGAGGGAAGGGGAGAGAAAGCAGGGAAGGCACTGTTGGCCTTAATTAAAAACAATCACTTTGGCCATGAAAAGCCAGAGAGAAGACTTCTGACACACATTTAAAAATTTGTGGGGTCTGCCAGTCAATATTTAGAGCTTTATGAAACACTTAGGGAAGACTAGAACCCTAGGTTTGAAGTGAGAATGAATCGAGTCTGCATGGCCTCTCAACTTGCACAACGTTAGCATTCATTTCCTTACAGAGAATCTTTTTTCTACTCCATAGGGACTCTGCTAGGCTCTGGAAAGAAAACTTTACTAGAACCTGACCCTAACAATGGTTCTATGTAACATATCTCACCTCTCTCAAACTTGAATGTGCAAGCAATTAAAGCACATGAAATGCACATGTTGATTCAACAGGTCAGGAAAGGCCTGTGAGTTGAATTTCTAACAAGTACTTACGCAGGTGCTGCTGCCGCCCACCCGAGGATCACCCTCTGCAGAAAAAGGAACCATTCCTCTGTGCAAATGGGAAGAAAGTCTCTGGATGTGTCACATGCTTGACCCATGCTAGCCCAGGCCAAGCGGGGAGGGTGCTGGGGAGCCTTTTCCATTTCCTTCCTACAGGACAAGTTTTCCCAAATGAGCAGGAGACCAATGGCAGCACTCACCCATGGCTGGGAACCAAGAGCACACATTTTTGGTGGCAGCAGTGTCACCGCTAGGGGCCAAAAGGTTTTCCTGGCTTTTGTGGACAGGTGTTCATAGAAAGCTTACTCTTGCCAGTGCACAGACTCACTTACCTGAACACACAGACTTCCAGCACATCTGTTCTGGGTGTGGCCTCAAGGTCCTGAGTGCTCTGGCTTTGCCTGCTCTCCTGGCTCTGAACTTCTAGGTTTGCTGCTCAGCCCCTCATCTCACAGCTCT